GTCACACCTGTTTCATATAATCTTTGTTTAGAATTTGTTTATTTTATTTTAAATATTCATTTAATTTGCGTAATCAAGCGAACTTATTCCGCTCATTAAGCTGTTTGTAAATGTAAATTGCTAATAGTATTTTTCTTTTAATCATATTACAAGTTATTTCTCCCATTTTACCTCCTGCCAATCTGTATACGTAGGTAAGGGAGGTTATGCTTTTGGTACAAAAATTTAATAGTTTTCATTGCATAAATACGAATTAAGATTTTCTCAGTAAGTTTTGACTATGATGTCTGTATGTATGTGTGTGACGATTTTTCAGTCATAATAACTGATATTAAACTTTCAAAATTGTCTGTTTTCTATGTTTAAGCTTTCAATCATCATTCATTCTGTTTAGCTGATTAGATTTTGCATTAAATTGGACAATCAAAAGTGGAACTTTACTTGAAGGCCATAGCAGTTTTCAATTGAAAACTATGTTGAGTCATTAGGTATTTCTTGAAACGGAAGACGTGAAAAATTAACAATGCCCTCTCCGGGACTCGAACCTAGACCTCTCGAATACGCTCCGTGTGTACTACCGTTACATCACGAAGGCATGCAGAAAAGAGAGAAAAATACCTTATATACTTCCTCTTTTAAAGGGCGACTGGGGATTAAGGAACCCAATCGCTACATCCTGCTGGTGAAGAATCACCATTCACTATCTTTTAGTTCGGGCGCTACTGTAAGGTCATTTTAGCATTTTTCGAAACAAGAAAATCGTAGAAATCCGCAATGCCTTCGCCGGGACTCGAACCTCGACCTCTGGAATGCGCGCCGAGTGTGCTACCGTTACACCACGAAGACATGCAGAAAAAGGGAAGAAAATAAACTATATTAAAATATTATCCTAAACTTTTAAGTTTTAGTATCAATGGGAAGAATATATTTTTGCCTAAAATGGATAAACCGAAAGTGATACTTAATTTCTCAGATTTGATATTTAAAACTATAAGATTAAGAAACAACATATTAGATTTTGGCTGCATATGATGAACCACTGGAAGTGGTACTTTGCTTGGTACTCTTAGCAAATTTTCGTATTAAAATATAGAATCACCGTAATTTGTCAAATTGCGTCGGTAGGTGATGGGGTCCGCTATGTTCAGACCTAAGACAATGAATCACCTTCCAAAAACCTTGTGTTTTAAACGTGATTTCATGTTTCAAAAATGCTTATCTGTAGAGGTTTTATTGTAAAGGAAGTATGTTTTATTATGGAGTAAATAATGAAATTTATTATTTTAATAAAAAGAAATAATGGGGAATCCATTTGGTTATGTTGCTATAAATTTCGAAAAAAATATTTTTACCCGTGGCTAGTTAAACGTAAAAAATGTAATCCATAATTTTGTATTACAGACTTTTTCTGTTTATTGGAACACCCAATTAGATTTAGCTTACAAACGATCAACCGGAAGCGATACTTTACTTAAAGCTCATTGCTATTTAAAACATGGAATGGCGGAAGATAATGTGCTGAACACAACATTATTTTAATTTATTTACTTATTTTGGAATCAACTATGATTTTAAATTAATTGAGAATATCAGTCCCGTTATCAATCCGATTAATCGGAAATTGACTCTACTATCTTAATCGTAAATACTAAATAAAATCGCATACCATTATCCGTAATTTTCGATCGTGAACATTTAGCGGCATAAAATAAAATGTAGAAGTTAGTTATAAAAATAGTGAGAAATGCATATACGTGGACACTGAACCGAATTTCTTGAATTCTCTATTTAGTAAGCTTTCTCCGCTGAAAGAACACTTTTAGATGACTAACGATGCCTTAAGTTGATCGACTATATATATATATAAGCGACAGAAATGTATACGTAGTATATACTGAGGATAGATTAAATGTGGAGTGTAGATAGGAATTCGTCCCAAAAGCTCGAATTCCGCAAGAAATCGAAGCTATTTAGCCATCTTCGTCAATCGCCGTCTTCTCTCACTCTCTTCCCATAGTTGGAGGCATCGGATCAATATTCATCGGGGGGAGGGGTGCGAAGTAATCCTATTCGATGGGCCCAATGGTCGCAATGACCTCATCCGCCATTGTCGCGATGAGAGTGGACACGTTTCAATTTGCATCACTCAACGATTTCTGACCGGTAATCACTCCAAGCGCTGTATCAGTTTTTTTTCCCTCAAAATGGCTCGTTTCTCTAAACATTTGCATACGTTTATCAATCAGCAGTTTGTGCATCTGATAGTTTTGATAATTTTATTGGTTTAGAAGTCGAAAATACAGGCATTGCATTTAAACGTTCAATAAAAGGAACTGTATTTTCACTCAAAAAGCCAGTCTGTTCTGCCGACAAGATTGGAATACGAAATAAAGTTTTTAATTGCCCCATCTTTCCTGGATCGCCGCCTCTTTTTAGAGAATGTTTTTCTTAAATAGCCCTCCCTTTTGAATTTATTCAATGATTCCTATTTTTGTAATAAATATATCTAGGTTGTCATATGTATATATATTTGTGAGTGTGTAATAAGATGATTTGGTAACGAATTGGCGATGGTTCCCCGCATTGTTAATAGCTTGGAGAGGCTTTAATGCGTAGTTAGAAAGATGACACTCGAAGGCAGACGTGGCCTCTGATTTTGGAAACATGATAATGCACATAATCACTATGGGTGCGCTATGCATTCCACTTTTTTATACAGCTTACATTCCTTAAACAATTGACGGAACTGGAAAAATAAACTCTGCGTCGCTAAGCGTCGCTAACGGCAAGGCGATGCAGCGAAAAGAAGCAGAAGAGCGAAGAGAGGGGAAGTTGAGACGCAATAACTTTTTATACTGAATTCCATTTCAGATCACGTGACAGATTAATGTACAGATTTCATCGATAAGTGCGCATCAGAACTGCAGGGAGTTTAGTAAGAAAAATCATTGCTTTGTTATTTTTAGAATGAAAACGGAATTAAAGGGCTATTATTAATTTATTATTTGAAAGATAGATAGATTTATATTTTACGTATTCCCCCCTCTTCAAGAAGAAAATGGCTTAGTGAGAGAAAAGCTTATTTAGAAAGCAAATTATAATAAAAACTGTATGGGATTCCTTTACGTGTATAAGCGTATATTAAGATGTGAAAAGTTTGTTGAATGGAAAGATTGTTTTGTTATTCGAGATTTTAAAAGACATATTCAGTTAGTAGTTTTAAGAAATGTGAAATGTAGATGAAGGGCGTCTACAAGGGGCACACAGTGCATCAAAAAAGTGTTAGGACTTATTATTATTTTTTAACAAATTCTGGCAAACCTGTTAAACGGTAATTGACAGCATTTTTTATTATAGCATCTGATCTTCCTTCACTAGAAATATCGTATGCTTACGAACAGAATTTTCTATGCAATTAATCGTTTTCTTTGATCACTTGAGCATCTGCTGTTGTGAATTCGAAACCGGAACAAAGCAGTGCGATACAGTTTTCTTGTAAAACGGAAAAAGCAGCAAGAAAGACATTTGCAGTGTTGTTCAAAGCATAAGGGATTCAAGCATAACATGTTCCAGTATTTTCTTTAGCATAACATTTCGAGGTGAATCCAGGAATAGTGGTGGTGAAGAATCCCTTTCGCTCCTGAATGAACGAGACTAAAGGAAAAATTTGATAGTTGTTGCTGAATAATCGTCACCGTCTCTTTGAATAATGATTGATGAGAGACTGCTCATAAAATTGTCCTGAAAAAATGAAAAATTTATTCTAATTTTCTACTACACAACCACTGCCCTGCCACACCTTTCTATTCTTCTCAGGCAGTATCACTAGTAAAGTTATAAGGTATTTCTCCCGCCTTCTTAGCATGCCTTCGCGGTGTAGTGGTCAGAACGTTCGGCGCGATTCGAGAGGTCCGTCGTTCGAGTCTTGGCGAAGACTCATTTTTCATCCCTCTTGCTTCGAAATAACCTAATGGCTCTACAGTGGCGCTCGAATAAAAAAGGTAGTGGATGATGATTCTCCATCACCAGGATTTGGCGACTGGTTCCCCTAATCCCCAGTCGCCCTTTAAAAGGGGGACTATATAAGGTATTTCTCCCGCCTTCTTAGCGTGCCGTCGTGGTGTAGTGGTCAGCACACTCGGCGCGTATTCGAGAGGTTCAGGGTTCCACTCCCGGCGCAGGCAATGCTCATTTTTCATAGTTCCTGCTTCGAAATAACCTAATAAGTAGTATCAGTATCAGGTAATAAAAGTATCACAATTCTTAACAGTCCCCCTGGTTTCATTAGATTTGCACTTTCAAACAGTTTTCTCTTGACTGAAGTGAGGTAATTATTTTAATATAACTCTGAAGAAGGAAATCTTAATCAGAGTATTTCAGAACGTATGTTCTGCGATGGAATCAAGCAGCTGTATGAATATGCCCAAGCGTATAGACTTATAAAGATAGTTTATTGAAAGCTAGTATAAGATATCTTTTCCCCTAACATTCGGTTTTGTACAAACTTCGCTCTTTATAGGGGCGCATTCTGTTATTAAGCTTTTTTCTTTTCCCTTAAACATTGCGTTTATATATGAAAACTTGTATATATTGCTAGAGTCTAGATTTATCAACTTATTTTCTTCAATGCCATTCAAAGCTGAGTGAGTTTACTTTCCACAAATACCAAATAATGTTATCACTAATTTTATTCGCGTAAGTGTGTAAAAATTATTGTTTTGGAAGATCTTTATTATTCTTTTGACTTACAAACGTTTCATCGGTGAAAGTTCACTGAAATAAATATGTGAAATAGATCTTTTTTTTTTTTTTTTTTTTTTCTTGTTGTTGTTGTTGTAGTATTATTTTATAATTTTCATTAAATAAATAAAAATGAAAATAAATAAAAATGAAAAATCATTTATTTTCTTTTTCATTTTTATTTATTTTTTGTTTGTTTGTCTTTGTTTCGTTTTAAGTGTTTGTTATTTTTTAATTTTTGTTTCTCTTTTCATGTTCAGCAAGATGATGGCTTTCGATCCTGATTTCCCGATCCCAGGAGGCACAAACTATAATCAAGGGTAGGTGGGACAAAACTATTCGCTCTCTCCTCCGCTGGCTCATTCAGTATGGGTGTGCCTCGCGGCCGTAAACCGATGTGCTTGTTTTCATATTTTTTTGCATCTTGCTTATGACCGCATTTGCGAATTTCATTATTGATCAAAATAAATCCATGGTGTCCGAAAAATAAAAGTGGGGTTTTGTGCTTTATTAATGGTGACATGTAGTTCAATATGTTGGGGCATTTGTGTTCCCTTACTCTTTTGCAACGCTGAAAACACAGTCAATCCTAATGTCCAGTACCAATCAGGTTTAATGTTTCCCCTCTGTAACATTAAAATTATGTTTTTCCGTACTTGTTTAATCAGTTGTCAATCGTTCTTTTGTCGTTGTCTGAGTACTTGCCGTATTGTAAAGTAAGGCAAGCACTTAAAATTACATTTTTAAATACTTACGAGTAGTAGTTATAATAGACTTCCAGTCTATCGTAAGACCTACTCAGGACAGTATGTTTGAATGGTGATTGTTACTATAGTAACAAGCCTTATATATTTCAAGTAGGAGTGAGTGCCTTATACATTTCAAGTAGGAGTGAATCAGATGACTGTTTATTGTGCTGTTACTTTTGTCGAGAGTTGGCCGCGGAAAAGACGAAACAATGTTATAATGTGTATTTTATTTAGGGCAAAGCTCAAAAAACGTATGTTGCCAAACGTCATTAAGTGCATCAAAATGGCAAACTTAAATGCAAGTTTTCAAGACACTTTTACGAAAAATGGATTAGGATTCGTTTCTATGGCAACAGACTACTGAAGACGCTTTTTCGGGAGTTGTTCTTGTGGTAGACATACTGGCTATACAGGAGTCGACATTTCTTTGTCTTGTTTACCGTTAGCCATTTTTTTCTTACTCTTTCTGCATCTTGCTGTTGTTGACTGCTGCTGCTGTCTCTACTGCTGTCGACATCTATCGTTGCAATCCATCCCGGACTCGTTGAATGAATTGCTAACCATTCCTTTGTCGTTACCTGAGTACTTGCCTTACTTGAGTGGACCATTCCTTGCCTTTTTTTTTTTTTTTTTCCAGCGCCACCGCTCCAGTTCTAGCTGTTATTCTGCTTCATAGTCCTATTGGTATTGATATTGGTTACTACAATCCACCCAAGGAAAGAAAATGGAAAACGACAATATATAAGAAAAGATTTACTGGAAAAGCGGTCACTTCGATGAAGTAGGCAATTGATCTTTTCTGGTAGTTTACTACTTAAGGGAAAGGAGTATTTTTCGTGAAGTCAAGCGTTTCGAAGAACAGATTCTGAAATCCGACCGATGCGAAAAATCAAAGCTGTCCTAGGGTCCTACTGCGTCGTCTTCTCGTAAAGAGCTCCAGCGCTTATTTTAGTAGTTGTGCAATTCATGTTAAAGACTTATTTTCCAGGAAGGTGACTTGTTGACAAAATAATGAAACTTACCGCAAAAGAGTCCATAATCCAAACCAACTTTCGCTTGATTAAGGTATAGAGGCTTGGCATGGAACACTAAAGGCATGGAGCCCTGCTACTTCGTCTTGAGTTTCATTCTTTTTATATGAAGGGTTGCCTAGTTCATTTTTTGTCATTTTTCCCTCTTGTGTAAACGTTAAATACTAGCGAGTTTTCCACGAAATGTTCTCTGCGAAAGTTTACCTCACTTAGAAAGTGATTCGGGAATACTTTACTATAATCAGTAAAGCTATATTGGTACACTGTATGGTATCGTCCTTTAGTGTTCACGTGAAAAAACCGCTTTGGCTTGCGTGCATATTTCTGTCATACGCATACGCTATGCGTTGTTCTGTAACCAGTTACGGAAGATTCATTTGACAAATGTACCCAATTCAACAATATCAGAGTGCTGTTTCTCGTTGCAAATCACAGTAGCAGAGCTCGTTTGGAAATCGATTCGATGTAGCCATTGCTAACTGTGTCAGTGCTTTGTTAGCCAAATGCCTCGTAGAACGCATTTGGTGTGAATTGAAAGTCCGGATTTCGATTCATTGCACACAAACGAGGAAGAATATCTTCACTCATGGTGGTGCTTTTTTATTTATTTATTTATTTATTTTTTATTCTTCCCAACGATCATTTGTATTACGAGGCGTATTCGGAAACTAAGTATCCGTTTTGGAAAGAAAAAAAAAATAGTAAAACAGTTTTTTCGAATCCAATTTTATTTTTACATGAAAATACATGTCTTAAACTATTTTTCAACATAGTTTCCGCCAATGATCAAACACTTGTCATAGCGGGTGACCAGTTTTTGTATACCATCGTCAAAGAAACTTCCCGCCAGTTTCGATAACCAAGACTCCACAGCATTTTTCGTGTCATCGTCAGTTCCAAAGCGCTTGCCACCAAGCTCGCGCTTCATGTGCAGGAACAAGTGATAGTCGGACGGCGCCAAGTCCGGGCTGTACGGCGGGGGATCGAACTGCTCCCAATGAAACTGTCGAATTAACGATTGAGTGACACCAGCAGTATGGGGCCGAGCATTGTCATGGAGCAACACAGTTCCTTTACTGAGCATTCCTCTTCGTTTGTTTTGAATGGCACGCCTTAGTTAGTTTTGTTAAAGTCTCACAATATCGTGCCGCATTAATGGTTTCACCTCTGGGAAGAAATTCAGTAAGCAAAACGTCTTTTCCTATCCCAGAAGACAGTGCACATGATTTTTTTGTGATGACATTGTCACTTCGAACTTTTGTTTTTTCGGAGAATGAGTGTGTCTCCACTCCATCGGTTGTTGTTTCGATTCTGGTGTGAAATGACACACCCAAGTTTCATCAACCTGTCACAGTTTGGTTTAAAAAGTTTTTCTCCCTCATCACTGTACCGCGTGAGAAATGTCAGGGGCAATACCAAGTCGCTTTGTTTTGTGAACATCAGTGAGCATTTTTGAAACCCATCGGGAACACAGTTTGCGATAATTCAAGCTGTCAGACACAATTTCGAACAAAACAGTACGTGAAATTTGTGGAAATGCCTCTGAAAGAGTTGTCATTATGAAGCGTCTGTTCTCATGAATTGCTTCATCAACTTTCCTTACCAAATCATCGGTGACAACAGAAGGGCGTGGACATTTGTTCGACCTGCATTAAACATTCTTACCCACTTTCTCACCATTCCATCACTTATCGCGTATTCACCGTAAACTTCTGTCACTTGACGATAAATTTCGGCCGGTTTAACATTCCTCGCGTTCAAAAATTTAATCACGGCACGAATCTCACAGTCAGCGGGAGAACTAATTGTCTTAAACATTTTGAATGTGCACAGCAAACTGAAAACACAACATAGAGCAACCAAAATGGCGACAATTGAAAATCAGTGAACAAGAAAGACTAATGCTCATGCGCGGGACGCCTACCACAGCGCTGCGACGGCGCTAGAATGAAACGGTGCTTAGTTTCCGAATACGCTACGTAGAAGGGAAGAACGTTGTCAGTATAATTGCAAATAACGTGCTTATTTGCTGTGGTTGAGCAGTATTCGATGCATCAACGAGTAAAGTATTCCAATATGCAACGTTTTCAAGAAGATTTAATTCTTGGCAAGCTTCACGATACGTGGTACATACTTGACCGTTTAGTATTGTCAGTTTTTGGAAGAGTGTTGGTCAACGTATGTTGATTAACAGTAATAGCAAGTAAATGCATTCTAAATTGTCTGGATGAACAGTGTACAGACGGCCTAACGCATCAGTCGAATATGAATTAGGATGTACTGTAACTGCTTTACCTCGTTTGCGACATTGAAATTTTTTCGTTGGAGCATTCCATGTGTAGTATTTTGTCACTTCAGAGTAAGGTAGCGTCTTTCCAATCATCTCATCCACACTTAATGAGAAAAATGTAATTAACGTTCTTGGCGGTGGTGTCAGTACTCTTGCACGTGCATTCTTCTGTTTCTATCCATTTTTAAGGTGCACTGCCAAATTAACAATTGTTTCATTGCGTCATACTTCTTCATTACTATTAATGTAGCGTCATAATTGATATTGGTCGATTTCATTAATAGATTAAACTGCCATATCGTTTCATTTGACTTATTTGCAAATGTACTTAATCGGTTTCGCGGAATTGCAATACTCAACATTGATACGTGTTCGAGAGTAATGGGGAATACGGTCCAATACAACAATTATGGACGTCAACATCATTGATTCGTACTTTTAATGTATTGGATTTGCCGCCATCTTCAGTTGGTCGTCGACTATAGAGTGGATATTCATCATTAACAGTGGCAGTATCGGCAAGTAAGTCATTTGGTTATTGTTTCGTGCATTTTCCACCAGACTTGCATAGTAAATTGTTGTTGAGTAAGCCACATGAGCATAATCATGTTTTTTTGGTGACACTTTAAACAAGCCCGGATCAATATTGACATCTGGATTTCCGCTGAGATAATTTGATAGTTTGATCTAGTGTGACTTTTTCGATGCACCAAATCAAAATGTGTGCATGGGGCAATCCTCTTTTGCCATTCAATGGAAAACATCCAACAACGTGTCTGTTCTTAAACATGATGCTTAACAATGAAATCCATCAAAGATTTCAATTTTTATTTGAACGCATGTGCGGAAATATGACGATCCGATGATGATTGCCCAGTAAAAAGTTCTTTTATTTCATCCACACAAAAATGTACATAAATATAATGAACAAATCTGGGGGCGGCCCATACGCACAAACATATGTCATTGCATCTTGAGCATGTGCCGTGGAGTTCCTGTAAATATGGGGCCGGAAGTATGAGCATTTTTACTTGGTTTGATTTAATAGAATGCATAGGAGTTGTTCGGTTTCGACTTTCGAATGCATATCGGTGTATTGATGGATTAATTTTCAGCGTTTTCACGAATTATCAGTCGATATGAATAGTAATTCATGTCACTGACTTTCTTGTTCGTTTCCTCATCTGTTGTCATTGATACATCATTTCTCAAATTGATGCTGAATAGATATCCATCTTCCGCCTGCCAAAATAAAATCGGATATTGTAATCCCTTTTGTGAGTGATGAGTTTCTGAGACTTGAACATCACCATTTCTGCGGTGAAGAATTATATCAGCAAGTTAATTTCTTCGCCATTTATAGCAATCGCCACTTCATCGATTGTTGGTGCATTGTAATATCTTAATATCTTTCGTGTTGGTCGACAGGTGTTTT